CTAGATTTTAATTTTAATTTGAACTTGAATTAGAAATATGACTGTTGGAAAAAAAAAGAAATATGACTGTTGGATTATTGTTGAGTAAGATGTGACTTCAACTTCTCTACTGTGTTTTCAAGAATAAAAAATGGAGCCAACTATGTCTGTGATTTAGACTGGTGCTTATATTTACAAAGCTTTGTATTATCGTGGTTAACCCGGTGACTGCATCCCTAGCAAGTCAGATTAAGAGTGTATGAGGAAGAGTTTTTTCACTTGTGCCTGTAAAGGGGATGAACTTGGACTGTAGGTTGAGCATGGAAATATATGGAGGGTTTGGATTCAGAACTATAGTGGTTCATGTTTTGGTATGAATGATTGAAAGTCTGCGCATTCCTGTCCACATGAGACAGTTCGGCTGTGGTTTGTGCTATTAGATCATGACATTGTTTTTAAATTTTTTACTGAGTTAGAGTATGCAAACAGGAAAACATATACATTGATAGCTTGTTGAGTTTTCAGAAACTGTTGTCAAGGTCAACAGGCAGAACATTACCAGCAACCTCAAACCTTCTTCTTGCTCCCTTCTAGTCACCCTCCAGTGGTCACTAGTACTATGCCTTGACTTTTAACATTAGATTGTTTTTGCCAAGTTTTGTACTTTCCCTAAGTGGAAATGCGCATTGGACAGTCTTGGGCCAGGCTTTTATCAACAGTATATTGGAGAGTCACCTATACTGTATTTGGCTGTGGTTTTCTGTTGAGTGTATATCTAGGGATATAATTAGTGGAGTAGACTAATCTACTGTATCACCGCATGGAAATAATCAGAATGCCACACTAATTTATTGTTTCTAATAGCTTTTTTAAATCCCTAAGTTGATACTGCGTAGCTTTTTTGGTGGGGGAACAGGGTCTTGCTATACAGTCCAGGCTAGCCTTGAACTCATTATATAGCCCAGGCCAACCTTTAACTCACAGCAGTCCTCCTGCCTCAGCCTCCTGAGTGCTGGGATTATAGGTGTGTGCCACCACCATGTCTGGCTGGGTAGCTTTCATTTTTAAAAGGGTCTTTTCTTGCCTACCTAGTATGTTTAAAAAAAAAAAAAAAGGACCATCGTTTACTTTGGCATTTGGCACACAGGTACTGGCCACCTTTCTTGTTTGGTGAGCCATAACCAAACTGAACTTCGGATCAACTGATCGATCATGTTTCGGAAACAGCTTTGCTTTTTCATCCTTAAAAACCCCCACTCTACCCTCTGGATAGTATTTACAGTTATCTTAGTAGCAGATTATTCAGATTTTAGTTAAAGGATGACTGTAACCCATACTGAACAAATTGTTGGACTAGTAACTAAATGCTATGTCTTTCTGAAGAGTTCATATGGCAGTGAAGCTGTGGGCTATTGTCCTCATTAAATGAGGAAGTCTGGGTATATTACCTTAACTCTAGGGCCCAACTTTCTTCTTGTTTTTGGCAGGGTATTTTTGTTTTTTTGGTTTTTCTTCTGGTACTGGGAATCAAACTCACGACCTTGCGTTGCCAGGCAAGCGCTGTGCCGCTGAGCTAAATCCCCAGCCCCCACCAACTTTCTTGAAAAATATTTCCTTATCGTGATTATTTACTGTCAGTTAGAGGAAGGAAGGGGACTTTATAAGATTTCAGAAATGTATTATATTTTATAGTATCCCCTAAAGAGATGAGCTCTAGTGTTTTTAAATTATAATTTTAAAGTAATACAAAAATAATACTAAGTCTCAGATCAATGAAAGCCAAATATAACTGAAATGTAAGCTTAATGAATAGGAAGAGAAGTGAGGTATTTTGACAGACGCTGATTTCTAAAGAACAGGTGCACAGAGTGGCTAAAAATAGTGTTGTGTCATCAGCATTAGAGAAAATGTAGTCAGAAAAAAACCCCTAAAGTTTCTTTTCTAAAATCAGACCTTGAGTAGTTTATGTGAATACGGGGATAGTTTAAATGTGTAAAAACCAGGTCAGTGGGTGTCTCCTAAAAGATCGTGGTAGTAACATAGTAACACACACACACACACACACACACACACACACACTTCTCTCTCTCTTTTTTTTTTTTTTTTAAACCTTTTTAAGCCCAACATCTTACAAACCCTAGGATCAGGGATGGGCCACCTCCAAGATTCCACAGCTGCTGAGGAGTCATGGCAGAACTTGCTTTTGGTTTGTGCTCAATACTTTTCATAAGCAGGTTCATATACAGGCATAATTGTACTGAAAATTTTTACTAATTATATGTCACGATAGTGATGTCATTTGTGAGAGGCATTGTAAAAAATTTGAGGGTTAGGTTCACAAATTCTGGAGTGAGACTGGGACAAAATTCTAGCTGTACCAGTTACTAGCTATTAACCTTTTTCATGCCATTTGCTCATCTATAAAAACCGGTCTTCTGGGCCGGTGATACAGCTCAGTGGCACAGCGCCTGCCTGGCAAGCATGAGGTCCTGAGTTTGGTTCCCTGTACCAAAAAAAAGTCTTACGAATTGGTGTATATAAATAAGCTGAGTAACACACTAATTTGTTAACTTAAAAAATCATTAAAGTAGGGCAGTATGATTCCCCTTTTACAGATGGAAAGTTGAGGCTAAGAAATGGTAACTTGACAGTTTCATGTCTTACATCATCTGTAGTAAAGTTTCCATTAGACCGTACCTGTATCTCTGATAAAGTTGTGAATAAATCTAGATGAATATTAACCTGTTTCATTTTACTGGCTTAATACAGGGTTCCTGGAAAGTCACTTTTGGTGTGTACAGTGCTTTTTCCTCCACAGGCAATGAAGCCCTGATGACTACTTTCCTATACTTACAGAATGTAGCTTGCCAGCTTTGTATCTGGCTAGACCCCATGACTGATGTTCTCCATCCCAGCCACGTCCGAATTTGTTAGCAGACCTATTCTTTTATTGTGCTGTTGCTTCTTCTTGGGACTTTGTTAAAGACTAAATTTTCTGTCTTTTATGTCACCTCTTGGTACTTTTGACATGGTAGTGTGCCATAAGATGCACAGCCTTCAGCCAAAAACCAGCATCCAAAAGGCTGAGAAAGCAGTCTAATTCACTGTTATTTAATGTTGTTCTGGAGGTGTTAGCTAGTGAACTAGACAACAGTGAAGTAAGATACAAAATTTTATGTACACATAGGGAAAGCCTAAGAGGTTCAGTTTTCGAAACAGCTTTGGAAAGTTGAGTATAAAAGTGGAGAGACCTGCCTGGCAAACGCAAGGTCGTGAGTTCGGTTCCCGGTACCTGAGAAAAACCAAAAAAAAAAAAAAAGTGGAGAGACATAACTCTATAGGAAAATATAAAAGCTGTGAAAGACTTCTTGGCTGGGAATTATATCAGTATCACATTAATATAATATAGATGTTAGCTCTGATTGGTTTAGAAAACTAAAGTATTGAGACTAGTCAAGATAAATAGGTGTGGGAGATGCCTTAATGTATTACAAAACTGGAAATTAACTTGGTATTAGATCCTAAAGAGAACTGTCAAAAATTAGACCTTATAAAAGCTACTAATTATTCAATGAAAGTCACTTTTCAAATAATTGGAGAAAATGTGGGTTGCTTTATAAATAGGGATGAGACAAGTGAGTAACGATTTAGAAAAATAAGTTGGATTTCTTCCTCTTTCCTTAGATTAAATGTGGATGTGCTATAATAAACCTGTGTGCATTTCTATTCTTGGAGTGAAAATATTGTAAGTGTGATACATGATGAATACATTTGTCTACAGATTAAACATTTATATGCTAAATTATAGCAAAAATCCCATAAAACTATGAGTCCATTGACAGACCAGAAAATATTTGCAGTGAGGAGGAGTTTTATAGTACATAAAGAAAGACAAAACTAGCAGAAAAATGGTGAAAAGATATATATGAAAAGATACTCTTGGGGCTGGGGATTTAGCTCAGTTGCAAAGCGCCTGCCTGGCAAGCGCAAGGTCATGAGTTCGGTTCCCGGTACTGGAGAAAAACCAAAAAAAAAAAAAAAAGAAAAGATACTCTTGTTTTTTTCATGAGGCAAATAGTTTTCAAGCTGGTGAATATAAAATGTACTAAATAGTATGTATGGAGAAGATAGGCACTCATCTGCATTTTAGGGGGAAAAATAAATTGATTAAACATTTCTGTAGGCATTTGGCAGTATCTAACAAAATAACTGTGTATGTTGGTTGATGTAGTAGATTGATTTACAGGAATTTATACTGTATGTACATAATAAGAATATTCATCGTAGCATTATAACAGTTTAAATAAAGTTTGAATGTTCACGTAAAAGGAATATTTTGCTTCAATACTGTAAAGCCACTGGAAATATTTTGTTAAGGGCATGAAACGAGGTATAAAACAGTACATTATGAAGTACTATGAAGAGGGATAAACAATGGTAACACACGCAAGAAACTTTGATGCTGTTCCTGCATGGGGAACTGGGAGACTGCAGGCCAGAAATCCAGAAGCAAGGATTACTTCTTTAATATGGACTCTTATATATTTCTTACTTTGGAGGTAATGCTTTTTAAGTCATGTGCTCAGATTACCTATTTAGCATACTGTTTGAATAAAAAATTCCTGCTTTACTTCTGCCTTTTGAATATGACAGTTTTGGACAAAGTTATCCCAGTATGTTCTTTTTCTAAGAGATCTACTATTGGAAAGTCTTTGAATTTCAGTTTTGATCTTAGGCTTAGCTGTATGCTTGTCAGTAAAAGACTAACTGTATATTTCTATTTTTTTAATCTTGTTTAGAAATATTTATTGCTTATTTTATGATATTGTATTTCATTGATTTGCAAATTGATGATTATATTGGTGTGAACTTATCTTTAGTTCTCAAATCATAGTAATGGTTTCATTTGGGTAACTCATTGAGGAGAATGCTTTGCAAGGGTTAATCTTGCTTAGTTAAAAGAAAAAACAATTAACCTAGTTTAGAGAAACTAACAGCTGTGTTTGTTTTGATCTGGACAGATATGGAGGCCAATCACTGCCACCTTTTATTTCCCTGTGGGTCCAGGAACTGGATTTCTTTATTTGGTCAATTTATATTTCTTATATCAGTATTCTACACGACTTGAAGCAGGTATGTCTTCAGTAGTTGTTTTAAATTCTATTTCTTTCTGATTTACTAATCCATGTTTACTTCCTTGGAGGAATTTTAAGGGCAGTCAGTAGTAATGTATAAAAATGGCATGAGGGTAGTATATGTGCTCAGTGGCAGTGCTAAGACTGTGTGTGTTACAATGTCATGAAGTTTAAAGTATCTGTCACCACTTTATAAGTGGAAAAAAAGGCAGATGAAAAGTTTACACACTGTGCCCAGTTCCTCAGTGGCTGAGCTGTATACTTCTCATTTTATTCAGCCATCTCATTCATTTCTGTCATAGAGCAGTCTTTGTCCTTCGATGCAGCGTTGGCCAGAGGGTATGTATCTCTCAGATTGCGGTGGAAAAATATCACTCTGTGCAAATAAAAGGCCAGACTTATTTTCTATAATTGAAACACTCTAAAATGCATAGTTGAGATTTAATAACATGGTAGTTTATCATTTGTTGTACCAGTATGATGTATGGATAAACTGTCAAAATCTTTTCTTAAAAATATCTTACTGAATTGTTATTTTTTTCTGGTAATACAGTACCTTCTATGCCATCCTGAGTTGGTGGTACTAAGAAGCAATAAGTCAGTACATCATCTTAATGTGAGTGTGACTTTGATAAACAGAAATGATTGTGAAAAGTTCGGCAGACTTTAGAAACTAAGCCTGCTGGCGGCTAGTTTAGGCTGGAGGTTCTGACCCCAGACCCTTATACCTATCAAAATACATGATTTCATTCTTCTTTTCCATTTGTGTCTGATTATGCCTCTGACTTGCTTAGCATTATATCTTCCTGGTGTAATAGAGGATTAAGTTGTTAGAATAATTTTTTTAAAAAATTAGTAGTAAACTGTAGATTAAGTGTGGATGATCTATGACCAGTTGTTTAAACTTTTATTTGGGAAATCTTTAAACATAAATAAAAGTAGAGAAAAAGTTCAATGAAACTTTTTATTGAGATCAGATTCACTTACCATAAAATTCACCATTTTAACCATTTTATTTGTATGTATATATGTATTTATTTATTTATTTTTTTGTTTGTTTTTTGTGACAAGGTCTCATTATATAGTTCAGGCTGTCCTTGAACTCACTGTGTAGCCCAGGCTGGCCTTGAATTCATGGTGATCCTCCTGCCTCAGCCTCCTGAGAGCTGGGATTACAAGGGTGAGCCACTGCATCTGGCTCATATTAATCATTTTAAATTGTATGCAGTGGTCTTTAGTATATTCACAGTGTTATGCAGCTATCACCACAGTTTAATCCAGCATTTTCATCATTTTTCAAAAACCCTTCATCAGGCATTCTCTATTCCCCTTCCCCCTCTCCAAGCCCCAGGCAACCACTAATCTATTTTTCTCTTGGATTTACCTATTAGGGACATTTCATATGGCCTTTTGTACTTCATATTGTGATGTGTAAACCCCTATTTGACTATCACCCACCTCTAACAGTTATCTCCTAGCAGTCTTTGATGGCTCCCTCACCCTCCATTATTTGAAGCAAAATGCTCTGCATGGTGTCATTTCATTCATAAATCTTTCAGTATTTACCTCTGAAATAGGCTTAAAGAACCTTTCTTATACTATCTTAAGATTAAACCTAAATCTCAGTAATTCCTTGACCACATTTTACTTGTTGTCTCTTGATTACTTAAAGGTCCTTAAACTCATTTACCCATCTCTGGTATGGAGATAATTGACTGAACTTCTAATATTAATCTACCTGAATAACATTGAAGGAAAATCCATGGGATTATTAGGCCACTGGTCTCTTTCATTTGCTTTGATTCATAGAAGTTGCCCTCTCATTCCCTCCCTGTTCCCTAAGCACAGCATTTTGAAATGCTTGAGCTGAGAGGCTTTGTATGTGTTTTATTGGGGATTGAACCCAGGGCCTTCACATGGAGCTACATCCCCAGACCTTTTATTGTTATTTTGAGACAAAAGTCTCACTAAATTGCCCAACCTGGGTTTAAACTTTGGATGATTCTGTCTCAGCCTCCTGGACTGCTGGGATTACCGGTGTGTGCTGTTATGCCTGCTCTGAGAGGCATTTTTTAAGCAACTTTATTGAGATAATACAATTGCCCCTCTGAATCCATGGTTTCTGCATTCCTGGATTTAACCAACTGCAGATTAAAAATATATGGCAAAAGAAAAAAAATCGAGTCTGAACTGAATGTATATGGACTTTTTTCCTTTCATTATTTCCTAATGCAATACAACAACTATTTATAAAACATTTACATTGTATTAGGTGGTATACTTAATCTAGAGATGATTTAAAATGTGTGGGAAAATGGCTGGACATGGTGGTGCACGCCTGTAATCCCAGCACTTGGGAGGCAGAGGCAGGAGGATCGTTGCAAGTTCGAGACCAGGCTGAGGGACAAAGTGAGCTCAGGGCCAGGCTGAACTGCATAGCGAGACTCTGTCTCAAAAAAGACAAAAAAAAAAAAAAAAAAAGTGTGGGAGAATGTGTACTGATCTTATGCAAATGCCATACCATTTTATATAGGGATTTGTGCATTTTCAGATTTTGGTATCTGAGCCGTGTCCTGGAGCCAATCCCTTCCACAAATATGTAGGGACAACTAACTCAGCATATAGCTCTAAAGTATACAATTTAGTGGTTTTTAGTATCTTCATAGAGATGTGCAGTGGTCATAATTTATAACATTTCATCACTCCCAAAGCTCTGTACCCATTAGCAGCCAACACCTGTTTGCCTTTTACACCTTTCTCCCCTGTAAGCTGTAGACATCATTAATCTAGTTTCTGGCCTTTCAGCTTAGTCTTCCTGAATGTGTCTTATAAACAGAATCACGTTGTATGTGGGCTGTTGTGACTGGCATCTTTCACTTAGCATTATGTTTTTGAGGTTCTTCTATGAGGCATGTGTCAGTATTTTATTCATTAGCATTCATTTCCTTTTATTGCCAAGTAAGAGTCCAATATATGGACAGTCCCATTCTGTCCATCAGTTGACTTGGCTGTGGTGTTGAGAATGATGCAGCTGCGCACAGCAGTGTAGGAAGACGTTTCTGTGGCCATTCTCTTCAGCCCTTTCATTTCGCAGACAGGAACACAGCGGTGGTGTGGAGCAGTGGTGACATGTCCCAAAGGTCCCAGAGCTCTTCGTGTAACACAACTAGGAGTAGAATCCATATGTACTGACTCTGTTCGCTCTGTACTGTACAGCATCCAGCTAATACTTCGACAGTGTTTGCCACCTGCATATTTCCCTGCCAGGCTGAATTGTTAAGTTTATGGAAGTGCTGGCATATTTATAAAGTTTCTGATTCGAATAGGAAGACTGCAATTTGAGACCAGTTCATTGTGAATTTCCAGTTGCAAGCATGCCAAATATTATGATGATTATAGTATGCTAAGTACTTAATCTGAAGAATCCTTAGAAATCGCAAAGCAAAAACCACATCAGAGCACAGGTCTTCAGAAAATGTGTTAGAGTCTTAGCTCTGATCCATCACAGTGACCTTTCAGCAGGAAACACCCTTAATGTGGCTGAGGTATGCATTTGAGTGACCAGGAAGAAACAAGAGTGGGGAACTTGCTGGAAACTCAGTTTCCTTTGGCTTCTGCACCCTTCTCCTTTCTGATTCTCCAGTATTTTTTTACTTGACTAGCTTTATCGTGTAACCATGGTGCTGTGAAGCAGAGGAAAGGTGATTTTTAAATGGAGTGATCTTACAGTTATTTCTATTTCTTTGCTTCTCTTAAAACCTTCGAACTGGGCCAGAGATTTAGCTCAGGAGCACAGCGCCTGCCTGGCAAGTACGAGGTCCTGTGATCAATTGCTGGTACCCAAAAAAACCTCAAAGAAAACCTCCCAAAACCTTCGAATTGAAGGCATTAAGAATTATCCTCAGAAGATCAGTCTGGGCTTTGATTATTCTGGCCATTAATAAAATAGAACCTACTCAATGGTGCAGTGACAGAGCCGTAAACCAGTAGCCAGACTTCACTCTGCTTGTGATAGCCATGTGACTACTTGCTGTCCTGTAAAAGGGGCTGTAGTTGTACCTCACAGTGGAAGTCTGTGGGATGGTGTGGTTGCATGTGTCCCGTTCCCTCTCCTATCATCACTTCCTCTTCCTGGAACGTAAGTACCTGGAAGACAGAGACTGAATTTCTCAGTAGCTATACCCAGAGCTGGGTGTGCCTGTGTGCATTTGCGCATACGTGCGTGTTTGTGTTTGTATGTGTGTGTGTAAGAGAGAGAGAGGGGGAGAGGGAGAGGGAGAGAGAGAGGGGCAGAGAGAGAGATAGTAATAATGATGATACCGATAAGATGCTCCAAGCTGGGCCTGGTGCAATATGCCTGTAATCCCAGCACTTGGGAAGCTGAGGCAGGAGGATTGCTGCATGTTTGAGGCCAGCCTGAGCTACATAATGAGTTCTAGGCCAACCTGGACTACAGAAAGAGCCCCTCTCTCAAAACACGCGCCCATACACCAAAAGATGCTCCAGCATAGTCATGCTGCAGGAGGTACAATGGTAGGCAAAACAAATGCTTCTTTCCTGAGAAGTGTGTGGTCCAGGGGTAAGAAACAGCCATTAACTATTTAATCAAAAGTCTGTCCATCAGGTCATGATAGAACCACAAAGGAAAAGCCAGCAGACCTGGAGGGAATTAGCACATTTGGAATGGGGGCTCAGTAGCTCTGGAGCTGAGGTTAGGAGAAATAGGGGAACCTTACTCAAGTGTTTTTGGTTCTGGGCTTTATTGACATGGTTTAGATGTTTATAAAAATTGGTTTTTCTTGAAAAGAGTGATTTTAAAAATATTCTCAGTTTGGTTTTGTCCAGTTTTTTGGAGTGTCTTTCCTTGTAGACATTATCTTGCTCTGAAATTCTGAACCATGACGTTGGCCTCTTTTTGTTTCCAGGAGCTTTCGATGGGAGGCCAGCAGACTATTTATTCATGCTTCTCTTTAACTGGATTTGCATCGTGGTATCCTTCCCTGTTATTCTGGGTCAGAAATGGGTCCTTTGTTTGTTTTCAGGTTTGGGGAAATAGACAGTATTCTATAAAAGTTTCAAATTAGTGTTTGTGTCTTTGTTTTCTACAGTTAATAAATAAGAATAATTAAAGTTCTTAAAAGCTCTAGTAGATCATATGGCCATTGAGTGATAAAGTCTCTCGCCATTGCTTTTGTAGGATTTTTTCACATTTGCTTCAGTTTTTTTACTGTTCGTTCTTGTTCTCAGTTCTCTGTGTTCTCATGGGTGACAGCTTGTTGATTGAAGCACAAAGAGATTCTGTGCTGAGAGGCAGCTTTAGAAATCTGTGATTCTTATCAGAAAATTAATTTATGCCAGCATCCTCCTCTGACTATTGTTTTCTTTCTTTTGGGGTCCTTAGTAGTAACTCATTTTCTCTATAAAGTACCCGTACAAAACACAAAGCTTTGGCCACACAGTCCATCTCTCTGCCTTGTGCCAACCCCAAGGTTGTCAGCACTTCCAACTCTGCGGCTCCTGCAGATGGTGCGAACAGCAGAAGGGCCTTGGTGGCTCGGGTCCTGAGTAGAGTTGGTGAGCTCACAGCTGCTGGTGGACTCAGCTTCCTTTTACAGAGGCCTGGAGCCGGAAAATGTAGGACTTTGGGTGCCCTTTCCTCATCTTTGAGGGAATGAAAACAAAAAACAAAAACCAGTTTTGGACTTCAGCTGTGCTGTAGAGCCCAAGTGAGAGCAGGATCATTATGTCTCAGATGCACAGGCATCTCCGTCCTCTCCTTGAAGGAGTGATGCTAAGACACTATGGCAGGCGTGGAGACGAGGACACCTGACTGCGGAGTAGTGCAGACCCTGTTAACTCCCACATCTTGCGGTGTAGTCTGGTAGAGCTGTGATGCAGGTCATCAGAACCTTTGTGTTCGCAGATACTGTAAGTAATCTGAGTGACAGAAAACTGTTTCCGTTTAGAAAAGATTTTGGAATGAGGTTAATGTTTCACTGTGGTGGGGAATAAGCATATCAGACAGGATAGGTACAGAATACTTTCTTATTATCTGATCTTTAACTTCATAAACCAAGATTACTGGCTTGGCAATGGATATGCAGGTGAGTGTCCCTTTAAACTCTGCCTTTTATATGATTCAGGCCTGGGATGAATAGCCTTTGATAGAAGTTGAAATTATATTAACTGTGATTGGTATGTTAAACTCACAGAATGATATATTTTATTAGGAAACTTCTAAGTCATCTGAATTTTTGAAGCTCATATGAGCTATCTAAATCATTGCTTTTCTTGCTCATTTCTGGCTTTTGTATTATGTTTGAATATTGAGAATAGCGAGTGTGCAATACTTTCTAAGTATATGTAAGGATTTTTTTAAAAAACAGATTATGTGGTAAGTAAAGTCTACTTTTTGCAAATAACAGCTTAAAAATTCGAGTCCATCTAAAAATAGAATTGTGTTGTATTTTCTTATAGAACTTTGTGGCTTTCTTTGTATGATAAGTTAAATAATGGGATCAATTTGTAATTCTTACGAATTGAATTTTCTTTTGCTTTCTGAATACTCACATGAGAAACTGTTTTTGGTGGGGAGAAGTAAAAAGCAGAGCAGATTTACGGTAAGCCTTTATTCAAACTGTGCATTCCTGGAGCCAGGTGTTTATGTGTCGCTTCTCTTGCAGTTGCTGATGATTCCTCTGATCATGTCCGTACTTTATGTCTGGGCTCAGCTGAACAGAGACATGATTGTGTCATTTTGGTTTGGAACACGATTCAAGGTACTTGAACTTAGTTTGGAAAATTTCATCATCATTGAGGAACTCTCACATCCAGATATGTACTTCCTGACGTGGCCAGGAGAGGGCACTGCAGAGCAGTGTAGCGTAGGCAGGCCCCTTCTCCCCTCTTTGCTAACTATGTTACTCCCTGGCTGCTCAGGCCCATCAGGACTGTGTCCATGTGTGTGTCCGTGTGTGTGTGTGTGTGTGTGTGTGTGTGTGTGTGTGTGTGAGAGAGAGAGAGGCATTTGAAATTTTGCAATTTAAAATCTGTTCTTATTCCTTCACTTCCTGTATGTGCTTAACATTTTAGCAAGACAGAGTTTTTTCTTTTGCCTCCAGACACTTCCTTTTGTACCTGATCTCACAGTTTTTCGTTTCTAACTCTTTGATTCTCTTCCTTATATAAATCCTACCCACTATGGGACTGAACATGTACTGTATTTTTAATCCCTTGCCTGGAACTAGTCAGTCTTGGCTTTGGGCTTTTGTAGTATCCTGTGTTCTTCCTTTAGTATTTAGCTGAGTACTTAAGTTATTTAGGTATAACCCTTTCCTTACTAGTTTGTGAAGAGTCCTTGCAACACCCTTAGCCCTTGATATCAGGTCTTGAATATTAATAGGAGGCTCACATGTTGAATTCCATCTGCAGAATTATTCAAGATATCAATGTATAATGAATTAAAAGTCCACAGTAACTTTGTTACACTTTGCTGGTTGGAGTCTGAGTGTGACTCTGTCCTAGCTGAGTTTTTAGCAGCATCCGTGAGACACTGGTGTCTGAAGCCTGTTGCTAATATGAATCTAGTAGGGCACGTATTGCATCTGGACTATGGCAACACAAGTATAGTTTTAAATACAAAGCTCTATGTATAGTAAGAGTGCTGCTGGACTGATCTGCGAAGTGTGCAGTGACCTCCCAGAGAGTTTATATAAAGCCCTTGCCAGCGTATCTGTTCCCATTCAGTCCCCTTGTGGCTCTGTCCTCTTTAGGTGTGGCTGCTTATGTTTGTGTATATTCTTTCCTAGGCCTGTTATTTGCCTTGGGTTATCCTTGGATTCAACTATATCATTGGAGGCTCGTAAGTGATACCAGATTTATTTAACTGGAAACTAACCCTTGGGAAACTTCCATTTACCTTTTTATCTTCTTTCTCTAATCTTTTTTTTTTTTTTTTTTTTTTTTTGGTTTTTCTCCGGTACCGGGAACTGAACTCACGACCTTGCGCTTGCCAGGCAGGCGCTTTTGCCGCTGAGCTAAATCCCCAGCCCCCCTTTCTCTAATCTTTATGAAAGTTTTTTTAAAAAGTCTCAATATTGATGTGTTAGAACCTAATAGTGACATTTTGATGTAATTGGTTAAATTGCAGGGCTTTAAGTGTGTTTGACATTAGATGGTTTTAATCTTTTTAGTTCATCCGTAGATATAGTACGTTTCTGTATGTTATGTTTAAAAGCATGTATTTCTGGATTCACTATCCAGACTGAGCAAAGACATGATTGTGTCATTTTAGTTTGGAACATGATTCAAGGTAATTTGAGTTAACTCTTATAAGAGTTGTCCATAAAATTAATGTTTTTTATTCTTAAGGTATTTCCAGAATGCTGTAGAAGCTGCTCACTATCAGTAGAAAAGCAAATTTTCAGAAGGGAAGTAGTTTTGTAAGTGGTCTGATGGTACAGATATTTGGCCAACCAGTACATTCCTAGTTTGTTGGTCTGTAACTAGAGCTGAAGTTTAATAAAGCCTTTAATGTATCTAGTCAGTTTTTAAGAGAAAATAACAGCCAGGCACACCTGTAATCCCATCATACTGTGAGGCCGAGGCAGGAGGATTACAAGTTCAAACCTATCTTAGGCAACTTAGTAAGACCTTGTCTTAAAATAAAAAGTGAAAAATGGGCTGGGAATGTGGCTTAGTCTGAAGGCCTTGGGTCCCCCATCAGTAATGAAAAAAAAAAAAAAAAAAAAAGAGTATCAAGATGCAGCTGTTCTAAGATTGCCTATTTTTTATACATTACAAAACATTTTCAAGAGTTTAATGATTTTTGTACTACTAGTTCTTCATATACCTGACACATTTGCTTCATGTGATCCCAGCTTCTGTATACTGAGAGAAGAGTAGATGAACTGAGCAAGCAGACAGTCTGGGGCATAGCACTTTCCAAGTGTGGTCCAGCTCTCCTCCCACCCAGAAGGGCAGGGTCTGGAAGTAGCTGCTTTGATTTGTCCCTGACAGGAGTGATGTTGGAGGTGCAGAGGACAGTAAGAATAGATCCACAGAATCTTGAGGTGACCTCTTCCTCGGCCGTAAGGAACTGAGGAAGCTCACTGTTTATTTTAGGGTGCAGGCTGAAGGTCAGCTTTCCTGATGCTCCAGGACACAAGAGGTGGGAGAATGCATGCAGTGCTCCGGGATGGGGGCAGGCGTGTGTTCTCCTTCTCCTCTCAGTAGCCTGTTTGCCTGTGTTTCATGCACATGGTACTCAGGACTGAACATGCTTGGGGCTCTGCTTTGCAGCCTCCCTCACTCCTGAGGCAGGAAGTAGCAAAAACAGCATCTTGAGGTGGGCTGAGCCGAAGAGAGAGGTCGGGGATCTGCTGGCCTGTGGGAACCATGGCCCGTGTTGGCTCAGCAGCCACTATTCTCTGTCCCTCGGATGGTTTGTTACTCTGACCATAAAAAAGGCCTATTCTAGAGCTGTCACGGACTTCTGGGACTGTCAGTGGGCTTCATTGAAGATCTCATCCCCATGCTGTTTTTTTGTTTGGTTTTTGTTTTTTCTTCTGGTACCAGGAATCGAACTCACGACCTTGCGCTTGCCAGGCAGGTGCTGTGCCGCTGAGCTAAATCCCCATCCCCCCCATGCTGTTCTTTAAAACTAGGTGCGTCTCACTTTATCGCTTAAATGTCTTTAATTCGGCTCCCTTTGCAGGGTGATCAATGAGTTAATCGGAAATCTTGTGGGACATCTTTATTTCTTCCTAATGTTCAGATACCCCATGGACTTGGGAGGAAGGAATTTTCTCTCCACACCTCAGTTTTTGTAAGTATTTTTCCTCTCGTTAAACGGGGTGTTGAATTGCCTGTGCTCTTGTGTTTCTTGGTAGGCACCTCATGGGTCTGGTTTACCGCCTGTGGGATGGAGAACTTGAGCCGATAAATGACTCGCCTGGTCATGTAGTTGTAGGAAGTCAGAGGTGGAAGCCGGTGCCTCCCCCTGCTTGCGCTGCCCTTTATCTGGGGACTGCTGAGGACTAGGCTTGGCTCAGGCAGCACAGCAGGTGGAGGTGCCCCATATCGCCTCAGGCCGTGAGGCAGGGACTCAGGGTGGGCAGGGCCCCAGGATGACAGTGTCACCTTTGTGTCAGTTTTACCCATTGTTTCTTTTGAGGAAAGGACAGTTGATTCAAGTGAAGAGGCCAAAGGCAGGAGGTGTTTGGCTTTGAATGCCCTTCTCGCAGCCATACCAGCAGTGGTATTGGGGAAGTCACAGGCTTCAGTTTGCAGGTCTGGAAGTGGGTGAAGGTGTGGGGAGATGAGTGCAGTGCTGAGCACCGTGGCGGGGCTCAGTAAACAGCACCCCACGGTGGGGGAGTTGATGAGCTGAGGAGAGAGGGCAGAAGCAGACCACTCTGTCAGTGAAGCAAAAGGCTGTCAGAGAAGGGACCGGCTAAATCGCCATCTGGGTATCACAGCCTGCCTGACAATCACGCCTAATCTCGTGTCAGGGATATGCAGTCATGGCTTGCATTTAAAAGCTTAAAAAACCAAACAACAAAAACTCCCTTCACGTCTTACTCATTTTAATGTTCTGTACTTCTGCCCTCCTTCCAAGGGGTCAGTGCCGGCAGCAAGCTGGAATGGTCTCCCTTCCCACCTCCCCACACATTAGGGGAGTGTTTGTGTAAGACTTTTTATGGTGAACCATAATATACAGAAGCAGAGCAGTAGTGTGATATGGGTGGGTGGTTTTTTTTTTTTTTTTAAATCTTTAAGAAAATAAAAAGAAACTTATTTCCTTCTGAGCCTTAGGTTGCCTTCAGGCTGAAAAAACAAATGACCAGTCTGCTTTCCAATTATTAAAGGAAATAATAACAGCAGGTTTGAATTTCTGATCTAGGTTTATCAAGTAGGATGACAGATGCATCAATTAAAAAAGCGTGTGCTTTGGGGGGCAGCCAACAGTTGTTTTGCTGTAGACGGCCACTCTCTGAATTAACAGCTTATAGTTATTTCTTAATTGTGAACAACAAAGTGCACGTGATTCTTGAGGCAGAATTCACAGCACCCTGGAGCTCGCCTTCTTTGAGCTTTCTCTGTTGGTGGAAGCCCTTCTGTTAGATTTTGCATAAAGATCAGATGACAAAATGTAGCTCCTTGCAAAAGCAGTAACTGTTTGAAATTACCATAAATTTTTGTTGATTGTGTATAATTGGGTATCTTTTTATACTAATTACTTGCATTTAATTTCGCTATCTGCTTAAGCAGTGGAGATGGCTTCCATATTGTCTTAATGTAAGCAGCAAGCAAGATAGCCCTCGTTTTGCCTTTTTCATGTGCTCTCTTCTGCTATGTCCTTTGGAGGATGTTACTATACCAGATGTTGTAGATGTGGAGAACCGAGTGCTATGGAAATACTCTTAGAGTTAATGATAAAGCTGTATTTGTTTAAGGGTGAGAGTTGAGTCATAGAATTCTAAGATGATTAGAATTCTGTATCCCATTTAAAAAATGCATTTTCTCTCGTGTGCACAGTTAACGTTCTGTTTAGAAGGGGCCAGTGTCTTTTTGGGAAGGAGTGTGGAGGGCTCAAGGATGATACAAACAGAGGAGGATGCTAGTCTCTGACTGCTCTTCTGTCCTAGCAGGAGGCAAGCACTGTGGAAGGTAGTGGGCAGTGCTGCTCCAGAACCGGGTTGCTGCCTGGGTCTTTGTCCTGTCGCTCTCGAAGAGCTGCACTCAATCCTGCCCCCGTATTGTCATTTATAAAACAAGAGTGGTGGTGCTGTGGTGCCTGTCTCTTGGGTTTGTGGTGTGGATCAGATGAGTTGGTGAATTTGCAACTCTGGTATAAGTAAGCACTCCTGACCCACATGTTGTCGGCATATGGTCACAGGGAGCCGCTCTGTGGGGGAGGTCACCTGCCATGGCTTTCTGGTGTGGAGAGGGGTTTAACTCGTGGCATCAGTTTATTTTAGGATCTGATAAGTGGAAAAGATTTAAACACATTCTCAGTTTCCTAGGCAAGGACTGGAAATGGTGAGAAAATGCTATTGAAAGCATAGACTTGGGTTTAAGTTTTCTTAGCTTTTCTGTGACTCCTGATGTATTAGCTTATGTGGTAAGAACATCAAACCTTTTTGGACCTCTGCTTTCCTACCAGCTAGGAGATGGGAAGGAAGAAGTCAGAGACAGGTTATGAGTAGGCTTTAAAAACCCTCAGGACAGGAAGCCTCTTCCACAGGCTCCCTCGGTGGACTCAGCTGAGAGGTTGTGGAAGTGCTGTGTACAGCTCGGCATGCAGCCTGCGGGTTTGGCCTTGGAAAGCAAATTTAGTTTGTATTTCTGATCCATGTTTAGATTACTAAGATGCGGCCAGTTATTCTTTCTGGTTTTGGGGCTGTGGGTGTAATCTTTTTGTTTCTGTACTGTGTTGCATGAGTTACTTTTATAATCAGTATAATAGAGTGTGAATTTAACTGAAAGTGTGAGGAAGTTGGAAACATGAAAAGCAAGTGCCATCTGTGGTCAGGCATTGAGCTAAGTGCTGGAAAAACAGTTAGATGAGACATTGTCCTTGGCCTTCTTCAGTGTGACAGATGCCGTGGGAACACCCAGCAGAGGGAGATGTGCTGAGTGCTGGGTACCGTGTGGAAGTGACTTTGTTCTTTCTTTTGCCTGTTTCCCCTCTCTGCTTCAGGTACCGCTGGCTGCCCAGCAGGAGAGGAGGGGTGTCAGGGTTTGGTGTCCCTCCTGCTAGCATGAGACGAGCTGCTGACCAGAATGGCGGAGGTGGAAGACACAACTGGGGCCAGGGCTTTCGACTTGGAGACCAGTGAATGAGCTGCCTCTGGTCGCCCACCAGCTGCTCCACTCAGCGCTGTCTTCTCCCAGGGCTGGGGTGCTTCACCGCTGAGTCCTAGCTAATGCTGTGGACCTGACCCACACCGAATGTAGTCTTTCAGTATGAGACAAAAGTTTTAAAGTCTTGAAGGAAAATACAAGTGTTCCTCAAGTTTCATGATTCTCGTTGAAGTCCTTACTGCTATGAAGAGCAAATATCAACAGCGCAGATTTCAAAACTGACTCTACTTGGTTTTCACTTCTTCCCTCTCCATCTGAAAAATGGGTATTAGCAGGTCCTGGTCTGCTGGCACCGAGCTGGGCGCCGGGGTTGGGCTCAGACCCTGTCAAAAGGATTCTTATCTCTTCCTTGCACACATACCTCCCTCCTCCTTTTCCCAGCTCCCAAAGTTGCAACTGGAGGGGTTGCTCACAGAATGATTCTGCCTTTGACAAACTTATTTATTGACTTTGCCAAGGGTTGTTCACAAAGAACTTGTTCACACAGTTGTTTTCCCCCTTCAGTGGCGGAACTGTGACAGGGGAGAAGACTGAGCAATGGATGAAGAGCTTTCTCAGCTTTTGGGATTGTGTCAACCTGACAGCAGTTAAAACCATGTGTCACCTCTTCAGATATTTTTATAAAAAGGCATCGAGTCCCTGAGGGGCCAGATTGGTGTTAATGAGGTTTGACGATGGTTGCTAGGCTGTTGTCCCCAAGCTGAGTGATCAGGACCGTAGTGGTGTTGCTTCTACCATGGGACAGGTTTGATGCCTTTGTTTCCTGTGTAGAGTGTCCTGGCTGGGTGAACTCAGAGTACTGGAGTTATGTTGTGTTTGGGGTTCCAAATCCCATTGGCCACAGAGGGCTGCTCCCCGGGAGAGGCTCCTGGACTTGGATTCTATTTGATTCTCATTCTGTGTGTGTGTTCATTGTGTAGGGGAGGGGAGAATCTCAGACCCTATGTAAATTGTCCATTTTCTCTGCCTCTACCCTTTTTTGGTCAGGTGTTTGAGGTAATTGTGAGGGAAGTGCAGCTCTTTTGTAGGTAGATCATTTTTTTAAAGCAAATATAAGCACATCGGAGTGAATCACATAATTTTGGATTGTAAGGGCTTTAGAATCATTTGTGTTTGAAAGTTTTTATTTTGAGTCATGGATGTACATGTGATGTGAATCAGACTAGCTTGAATACCCAGAATACGATTTCCTAGGTGGGCTTTCCCCATCAGAGTTTTGCTCATCACGAAATAAAGTTTTTCTGATGGCTGCAGACTTTACGTTTTTATTGTGAGAGCAGACTGCGGGAGCAGTGGTGAGGGGCTGCCACACTGAGTCAGCTCAGATGGCTTTGAACGTTTTGCTGCATTTCTGTTGAGGAAACACCCTGCCTGTGTGACTGCTCCTTCTCCCACTGTTACTAAATCGTGTTGCGTCTTACCCTAGGAAGTGGGAGTTTTGAATAAAGGTTGGGTGTACCTCTCCATATTTAATTTATGTGGTAAAATCATACTTGGGGAGAGTCTGAACCTAGACTGTGGCCATAATAAAATTCACTTGTAAAATTGTAGAAGCTGTTGTTCCTGTGGCTTATGTTGCCTGTGTACACACTGTCCAGGAGTGGAAACTGGAAGATTTCATGGTAAGTGCGCTGGAGGCTCTCGTGGCCCTCTTACAACCTGCCCTGAGCTCTGCAGGTGTGTATTCAGAATTCTTCAGTAAAGTGTTCACTGAATTCTCTTAAACAGTTAGGAAGCTGATTATTTATTGATCTTGTCTGAATTGCCTATGTTTGTGGGATCATCTTACCAAAACAAACTATATTTGAATTTTGACTTGGCAAGGTAAGATATAATAGTGGCTTCCTTCTCTTTATGACTGAAAAACAAACCGTATTTTGTATGGACAGTGTCCCCTTTTGTAACTAATCTTTTTTTATTGGCAAACATTGTAAATTAAAATGTCCAACTTGAAAGTTGTCTGTGTTACATTTCCGTATCTCGGCTCTGCTGTCACCCAGACATTACATGGCTTACGTAATGAGTCTCGTGATGAGCATTTAGTGGCACCCATGTTTTCTGTTACTGCAGGGACACGGCAGACCCTTCTATACTTGACTTTGTTAATGTATTGGAGAATCTGTGGATTAATTCTTAAGAGCCAAATTCATGGGTTTTCACTCTAATGAGGCAGAATGCTTCCGAGTTTAGGATTCGGAGCTCTACTGATTTGGTACACTGTATGGCATTCCTGCAGCTTTGGCTCTAGGGCGTGAGCTTGGAACTGTAGAATTAATCTTTTCCTGTAAGGCCCACAGAGACTAGAAAGCAGATGGTCTGACATTCCCGAGCCTTTTTTGTCTTAAGAGTAAGCATTGGAGTCAGAGGAATTGTGACACACCTGTCCTAGGATTTGTGACATGGGTATCTCATTGTAGGGTGACAAGCAGCGGGCCTGTGTATTCCTATTCTGATACCAAAGACATACTGGAACAGTAGGCAAGATCCTGCTTGCTTGGGAAGATAGCGCATTGCTAATAAAATGGTGTTGGTGAGCTACCTTTCGTTTGCCTTTTGAGATGGGCTCACTATGTAGTCCAGGCTGGCTTTGAACTCAAGATCCTCCTGTATCAGTCTCCTCTGAGTGCGGGATTACAGGCATGTGCCATTGTGCGTGGCTCAAAGCTACCTTTAGAATAACACTGATCTACTAGTAGGCAATGTTACATATGCCAGCATTGCCATTGCCAGCTTCGTCTGAGGTCCCTTTTACACTGGCCTTTGGGAAAGTTACTCTTGTCTTCCTGTACTTTTCACCAGTCAGATCTTAGAAGGCTGGGTTGAGTGTGTTTGCTTGCAGTTCCTGCGCATACTTAACAGTGTGGCTGTGGGCTTGGGCTGGAGGTTGGGGCTGGTGGCGCGAGCTGTGATTCTTGGTGTGTGTGGCTTAAGTCCAGGGCTTCTCCACAGGCTCCGTTCCTCTCTCAGTTCCATCTCACATTCACTCACACTAGCGCTTGATACCCAGGTACATCCCGTGTGAGTGATGTGGGCTTTCCTCTGTGCTTTCCAATCTAGCTGTGTGTGAGGGTCACTTGCGACTTTAGAGAAATGAAAGTATCTTGGTCATCCCCATTCTAGCCGGTTTTTTTTAAACATTACACAATTTTTTATTAAATGAGAAAGTCTCACTTGTTACATCGTCACATTGCCGGTCAGAAAAATGTTGCAGTGCTGAAGAAAGTCAGTGTTGGATCAGCCGAAGTCCTCATTTCTACAACATCCATTTTCAAAGAAGTAATGTTCCACACAGCCCAACATAGTGTTCTTGGTTTTCTTCATACTGAAGTCCCCCCCAAAATCATCTTCTAACGGGGTATTTCACTACGTAAATTATAGTTCATCTTTACAGTTCACCCCAAACTGCATGAGAGATATATCGCACTAAAATTTTTAAAGCTGTTAGGAAATCCTTCACAGGTTGTCGTCATCTGATGTGTCACTGACACCTGTCTCTGTGTCATTGTTCTCAATTGTAGGTTTAAAAGTGCTGTTTTTCCAGGGTCCGAACTTGAAGTCACAGATCAGGCCATTTTTCAAAATACCATTTTTTCTCAGACCATTCTCCTGTAACTGTTTACTAATAACTCGAAATTCTGTCATTTCATCCTCAGTTAAGCAAGCACATGCTTCATCATTTTCACTGTCCTGCCAGCCTGTCTCCTTCAATAGCCTGTGTTTGCCTCAAGAGAACTGGAAAGACCATCAGTTTGTGGAAAGGCTGAAGACTGAACGATGTGTTGGGAAATTACTGAGGCAGTGCCACTCCTGTGGGATTTCATTTTCATCAGAGTTTCTGTTTATATCCCTTTCCTGATGAGTACTGTTGCTGTTACGCAAGCTGAGGGAGTCATCCTTGTCTGAGCCATCATGGCTTTCATCTTCATGGTCTTCTACTCTGTCCCTGTTCAATGCTTTCAAAAATTCACTCTTCTTACCGGTGCGCATTCGTGTCAGTTTGGTTAGATGAGGTTGTTGACTAAGTTTGTGAACAGGCGAAGAGGAATTCGAGTGATTACACTCTCACTGAATTTGTTGATGGACTAAAATTCTTGGCAGTTTGTTTAAAAGTATTGAAGTTGCCAACACCATATGCAGATTCACGAGGGAAGGAAGTTCCACCTTTATTTTCTTTAGTTGGCTTTTCCACTGTGTAGGTTTGGTAGGTGGAGCAGCAGGCTTAGGGACCAAGCCTCTATAAACACTTGGACCAGTTCCATTCTTTGCTGACTGTGACTGAAGATTTTCTACTACCTGGAATCCAGATAGCTGTAAATCTTTTGTATTACCTTTCTTAATGACCAGCTTTCTTGGAGCTCTATATTTAGGATTTGGAGGATATTCTAAGAGACGAGCTTGGGAGATTTTTTTGGTTGGGTATATGTGTGTCTGGACATGTTCTAGCAATTTTTAAAGTTCTTGGTTCTGATGTTCAGCTGGACTTGGGAATTAATGCCTAAACTAACTTTGAAATAGGTATTATTTTCCCCATTTTTCAGATCAGGAAATTTGAGACCCACAGGGATGAAGTCACTTGATTAAGATCAAGCAGCTGGGAAGTGCCAAAAACAAGTTAGGAGCCCAGCTCTGAGTTAAAAGACCTTGGTGTTGCTCTGCAGTGGAGGAAGCCAAAGGGAGACTAGAGGATGTGGCCTGCCTTCAGGGTGTGCTTTCTCCTGAGGCGGCTGGCCTGCCCCCCCCCCCCCCCCATGGCCCACACTTAGCTATAGGACAAACAGTCACACTACACCTGGCACTGCCACAATAGAAGTAAGTTAAATGCTTGCCTTGGGCAGAGGAGCTTTTCTTGGAAGATTGATGAGTGATGCTGGACTGAGATGGAGGAAGCCCTTAACTCTATGTAGAGGAAACGGTAAGAACAGCAAGGACCAGTGATCTTGGGAATAGAGCTTAGTGCGGCTGGACATATGGAATACAGCTAGGAAGTGGCAAGGAAAGGCTGGAGAGGTAGACTGGAGTCTGATCCTGGCAAACCTTTTGGGCCATAGTTAGGATGCCGGTCTGTGTGCAGCGGGGAGCTACTGCAGAGCAGCTGGCTGCAGTACCGGGAATTGGAGAAGGCCAGGGTAAGGAGAGGTGACTGATGGCCAAGTCCAGTGTGCTGCTGTGGGGAGGGTCGGCCTGAGCCAGGGCAGTGGACTGGGGCAGGGGTGAGGGAGGCCCTTGCAAGATGCTGAGGTTTAGTGAGAACAGGGCTTATGTGAAGGGGTTTGGAGGACCTCGGGCTCAGCATACTTTACCACCAGAAACAGGCCAGGCAAATGCCACTGGTGTGTGCCGGTGCTGCAGCACATGTAGATGAGCAGGTGCTGGTTGTCTGTCCCGAAAACCTAGCTGTTCTTTGTAAGTGCATTTCTGGGGAAAAGTACACGATGAACTCCGAACCCATCAACTTCAAAATGAACTTTTAGAACATGACTTTGTAAAATGGGGACAGCTCTGCAAAAGGCCCCAGAAAGGAGAAGGAGGTTTCTTGGTCCCGTACCATCCCTCAGGGCCCAGCCTAGGGTTTCATCAAGGGATTGTGGTCCAGGCCTGTAGGTGGGGTTAGGTATCCCCCCCACCATGAGGTGCTGGCATCCAGATCTCTGCTTTGTGACACTCATGCTCACTTGCTCATTGTCTCTCACATATTTATGGTGTGTTCTCACGTGTAGCACAGGCTTGCCACATCCAGGTTCTTGCTTGCTTTTCTATACTGAACTGAAACTCAGGTTGGGTCATGGGTCAGAATTTGGATTGCTTAGAGTGCTAATGGCCTAACCTTCCAGGAACATTAGAGGATTTATTGTCCACATAACATCCTGAAATGAGATGTCACGAGTTGGGGCGATAATGAGAAGAATGGACTCAATACTTCAGAAAGGCAGCTCACCGGTGTCTGTTTACAGTGTGTCAGTATGCAGGGTGGCTGGGGCAGAAAGACCTGGTGTGGACTGAAGGCTGGCAAAGATATTTGGGAAGATGAGTGGACGGCCGAACTGTTGTCTCTCTCCGGAGGCATTCTCCTGTGTCCTGCACAGATTTATGTGTATTTAGAAACAGGGACCCTGAGGGAGAGCCAGAAGGTGCAGGGTTGCTTAGGAAATGCTTGCTAAGCTGTTTTGGTCATTTGGAGCCTTCACCCGATCCAGATGAATGTGCCACCTCTCTTCTGTCAGGGTGTTGGCCTTTTCCTGAGGGCTGGCACTGATACAGTGAGTGTTCTGAAGAGCAATCACTGCTAGCTTAAGGGAACCTTTGCCTTTGGGTTCCAGCTGACCTGATACAGGAGTAGTAAGACACATCTGTCCTCCAAGCCAGGCGCTCCGTGACTCTACCAGAGGTTCTCTGGAATTGCCAGACCCTGCCTAGAGGGGAGGGGTTGGGGCTTTTCGTAACACACTGAGTAAGGGAATTTGCTGGACTGATAGGAATAGCTCACTGATTCCAAGGATCTGCTGAGAAACCTTGTATGGAAGGGGGCCAGGGATCCAGGGAAGAGGCACTGGTTCCGTCCATATCTCTGGCTGGGCTAACCTAGCTCCACCTTTCATTCTGATCTTGTATCTGTCCCTTTAGATTTCAGCTCCTGAGTCTCATTGATCCAGCTTGGACCTTGTGCTTATGAGTGGGAATTCAGGGAAAAACATTTGACTGGCAGTCTCGTTACAGCTACACATAATAGGGAGATGTCATTTTCCACAAGCAAATCAAACTGCTCTTGCTGTGAGGGGGAGGAAGTGGATACTGGACACCTAAAAAGCCGCAACTGGCGGACTAGAGCATGAATGTGTGCTGCCGAGGCCAGGGAGGACCAGAGCACGTGTGTGTGCTGCTGGACTAGAGCACGTGTGTGCTGCTGAGGACAGTGAGGACTAGAGCACGTGTGTGTGCTGCTGAGGCCAGCGAGAAC